TCAGATTACAACTCACGCACGTCAGATGACCAATTGGCAGGTGACGTGCGTCACCTGGAAATCGGCATCTGACGTGCGTCAGATTAGATCCGACGCAAGAATCGATCTGAGGCACAACATTATCACTAAACAAATTAGCCTAAACTAACCTATCACCTAACTCTAACACTAATCCGCCGATCACTTAATCATGTGATGTGACTATCATGAAGATTCCTCCCCATAAATTCCAAAGGTTACACGTACAGTACGTACGTACGTACGTATGTACGACATAAATAAGGCTAGCAAAATTTATTTTCATAAATGAGCGTAGAACTTTTTAATAAACTTGAAAGCAAATATGGTCACAAGTAGTGATCGAAGTTGGTAATCAATAAGATAGCCAACTCTACAAAACACATTTAGTAATTTGTCCAATTTGTGAATCAAGGCCATTTACATCACAATAATACTTATTACCATATGATTAGTCTGCGGAAGCTACGTAATCTGCTTTCAGAAGACATATTTTCACGACATTATGACAAATTTGTTTGGTTGTTGCTCAATTCCCCGAAAGTTACTTCTCCGCCAACTCATTTCCCCGGCGCCATAATGCTGACATGCTATTTCATCCAAAGCACATTTATTCGATAAGATATATATTCGACATTACGTTTTTTCAACAATCCTTTCTTAGACAAGACAATCATTTCCTCGACATAAAATCGGCCCGATCTAGCATTAGAGTTGGCCTGATTTAGAGTTAATGTTGGTTAAAATTATATGCCGGAGAAATAATTGTCGGGGTATTTATGTTTGAAAATTTATTAAATTTCAAGTCTCTTGTTACCGATACATATCAAACTTTCAAAGCTTTATTTTGATAATTTACAGTGGTAATACGATATTTGTAAGAATATTTAATATAGGCATATCCATTAAACATATAATTTGTTAATTGAACTTTATATAATACAATCATCCTATAAATGAAAACAAATTTAGAAATAAGATACAAATAAAACTATGTAATATAACTTAATCTTACCAGGTACATATGGTCCTTTTCTTGTGAATAATTTAAGTATAGAATATCTAATTTACTTTTTTTAAAGTCTGACTTAGTTAATGGCCCGCGTAAAAGGTAATCAGGAGATCCAAGTGCAATATTTATAACTTCATGGTGGTTACATTCAGGATTTTCAAAAAGTTGACTTGCAAATATAAGCTTCTCATTTTCGTCGGTGTTGATTCCCTTTAATTTTGAGTAGAAAATTTTATCTTTTCTATTCATGTATTTCCATTTAACTTCTTTCTCATGCATATTTCTTTCAAAATTTTCCATATAAATAGTACTTTTTTGAATAAAAAAAAAATAAGAATAATGTAAGCGAATTATGAAAATTTTCGATCAAAAATATAGAGATTGTAGCCGTTAAGCAAATCGCTATCTACTATTACTAGGTTAACCTGGGTAAATTATATTTCAGAGGTAGAAGCGATAACGTGGTGATCTGCTTAATCAGTACGGCAGCAACATAATATATTTTCTGGCACGACTTTTCTATTCTGCCGGCTACAATTTTTAATATTATGTAATAAAACAAATATACAATTACCAAATACATAATTTCATGTGCTGTAAAAAGTGATAGTCGTTATCATTATGGGTTATTAATTTATTATAATGTTCTGAACTGTAGGCAAACAAGCGCGCACGATTCTTTGAAAGAGAGAAATGTGAGCCAAATACTAATTTAGATTCACGAGGCCTTGATTCTGAATTTGAATACGCTGTTTTATCTAAAATGCATGATGACAACACAAATATTTTTTCATTTGGCCATTCTGCTTTATGTGAAATATTATTTATAGTATATGGATTTGTAATTGATACATCTGAAGAATTTCCATACTTTCCACTTTTGTACCTAACTTGATTTGATAAGTCAAAATCGAAAGAATCCTCTGGATATCCTATAACAATCCATCCGATTTCAATCGTTCTTTGTTTCTTTTTGGGTTTTTTTTACTTGGAATACGTTGAATGAAAATTACTGGAGCATCTGGAGCATCATAAGCCACGTATGATGAAAATATATGTCGATTGTGCTCTTTCATGACTGTAGTAAATATTTCGCAATTTTCAATATTTGAAATGTCATCTAATTTCTTTCCGATAGCAAGGTCATAGGGTTTATTTTTGTCTGTTGGATATTTAATTTTTTCAATCCCAACTTTCACCAAAAAGGTTTCACATAAAGATGTTAATCAATAACATACTGCAAATCACACTCTATTT